GTGGTAGTAAACGTCATTTTAAGTGCTCGAATGAAGTGGTTAATTGATAAATATAGTTGCATAAAAGTAAACGTACACAAAACAAAAAGTTGTTGAATATTACATCCAAATTGCTGCAACCAGGTCAATCCATCGGTTGTGTAATATAACGTTGTACGATGTACATCGATTTTGCGAACAAAATTATATCCATTGATGTTATATTGTATCTGCTTTTAGCTATTACATCATTATTTCATACATCAGCTTGAATTACATTGATCGATATTACATTTTTTTGCTGTGTAGTGTATCAACAATAGTAAAGTGAAACTAATCAGAGAGTTTTATCATGAAAAATATATTAAATCAAATGTGTAAAATTTATCGAGAAAATTGGTATTCAGAAGATGTATTTTTCAGTGTGCAAGATACTTGCGGACCTGTTTATTTATGGACGCCTGTTCTGTAATATAAAACTGAAATATAATATCAAATGAACAAAAAATAAGTGACAAATTACTAATTTCATCACCTTTTCTGGGGAATGGTACATTCTGGGGAATGGTGCATTCTGGGGAATGGTTTTCTGAGGAATGTTATTGATGAATCTATCCAGCTTTCCATGTTCGGTAATGGCGGCCTGTTTGTATGAATAAATGTATCCTTCACTGTGCTTTTTGACACTATCTGGATGTTCGAATTTCAACCCCTTCCCTTTCCCTCTCCCAGGAACAGTAGAAAATGGAACAACAACATACGCCCTCCAGTTAGTGTCAAAAAGCACAGTGAAGGATACATTTATTCATACAACCAGGCCGCCATTACCGAGCATGGAAAGCTGGATACGCGAAACTGCACCAGTGCATGCGACACCTAGGTTTGAAATCCAAAACCACAAAAGTGATGATGTACTAAAAAATATTCCATACGATTTTAAAGCTAGCAAAACGTCATTATCATTTTCACATCATTTCCATTAGAGTCGGTGTATAATGAGTCACGCCAAGAGTGAAGCCAAGTCTACCTATTGAACTGTCAAATCGGCTACCTATCGTGCAAAGTAAATAAACATTACGATGCTATGAAAGGTCTACGAAAGGTATTGCAATGAAATATAAAATAAAATTGAAGAAATCATCATAAACACGCAGCGAGCATTAAATGGTCATGGGATACGTTTGGTTTTGATCAGTAATGAGAATTTCTACTATTTTTTGATAAGATAATTTGACAAAATCACTGATTCACTACAGCCGTTATTTTTGGTTCTCGCTAGAAGTCATTTAAAGTTGATGTACACACTTAATCGAGCTCGGTAAAATCCCCAACAGCCGATTACCTCGGCATTTACTTTTGCTGATATATCTGCAAAATATCTGTTTGTTAGCTGATATCTCAGCAAAGCTGAGTCTCGGTAATTATTTTACTGAATCTCAGCAAAATAAATTGCAGAACTACTCGGCTGTTGGAATCTCGGCGAAAAAATTTAAGTGTGTAGAAGTCCTCTGTTGCCAAGTGAAAAGAAAGGGAATCCTTCGGAAACCGTGATGCGAGTTCAACTGTTTTTCTCTTGGCGTGACTCATTATACACCGACTCTAATTTCCATCTGCTGGCCGACCGTAACGTAGATTCATCCAAATTTGGGTACAATCCACCCAGATCAGTCAAAACTGAACCTACCCAAAAATGGGTAAACTTAAAGAGCCTACACGGAGAAAAAATACTACCCAAAATTTGAGTTCTTTTTACTTAATATTGGCTTCAGCCTCTCACTTGCACTCGTTATTGTTGTCAAAAAAGGAGCGAGAGATTCAACCCAACGATATAGTTCAGCCCAATAAGTTACTTTTGAGTAAATTGCATATTCTCAAATTTACGTGAATTAAACTTAAATTTGGGTAGAATATACTTAAGTGTAGGTAATTTTTTTGCTGGTGTTAAATGGAAACTACTATATGCGATTTACTCAAATTTGGGTTATTGGGCTGAACCCCGGAATTGAGGGAAAAGTACTTAATTTTGGGTTGTTTTTCATCTCCGTGTAAATTTATAAAGAGGCGACATGTCAAAATTGGAACAATCAATTGTCTGTCAAAGTCATAAGAAAGGTCATTTCAATCGAGCAGAAGACCTGTCAAATGGATAAGATGTCACCTCTTTATAAATTTACCCAAAAATGGGTAAACTATGTTGTGAGTGACAAGTTGACAAATGAACAAAGTCCATCAGATTAATGTCGATGTTGTAAATTAAAATTTTGTCAACCTGTCACTCCCAACATAGTTTACCCACAGACAAACAGACATAACACTCGCAACTTGTTCATTGAACAAGAATTTAACGGTCAATTTAAAAGTATCGTAGTTGGTAGTACCGCCACCTGTGGCGCGCATAGTCAATTCCCTTGCGTTTGACGTTTACACACTACCGCCATCTGTTCTGCGTATTACCCACCATCGTGTACTCAACAGATGGCAGTAATGTTTTAGCGACGATGTTTTACCATGAGAAATATTCAATGTGTTATGTCTGTTTGTCTGTGGTTTACCCATTTTTGGGTAGGTTCAGTTTTGACCGATCTGGATGGATTCTACCCAAATTTGGGTAGTTTTGAAATAGCGTGTACAATGTTTCTCGCGTAACATTTGAAAAGTGCCTATCCTCGTTGATCGATTTTCTTCATCGACTTTCTCTTTGGTTTACCATGTCAAAATAAACGAATTTCTCGCTAAGCTCACAGCACAGTTCGACAGAATGGGAAATTCATTTGCTGTTGGGTTATTCGCGAAAGAGAAAATCGATTAAGAGAATTGATCAACAATGATAGGCCCTTTTCTCGTGTTGCGTGAGATTTATCTTTTTTCAATGAAACAGCTGTTGGCAGCGAGGTTGGCAGTGACATAAATCTCACTGTTCGCAGTATGGAATGTTATGGTAGATTGACGTCATCACTTGACTGCTCAGCAATGTATACAATATTTTTGCAGCTAACACCAGCAAGCTGCCTTTTGAGGCTGTGAACCATTTGCCGAGTTAAATTTAACTCGTGGTTAAAAGTGACATTTCGAAAGTTATTTTCTATGTTCGAAAATCCCTGTGCTGTCAATCGACCGGTTTTCGAGCAGAACTTAGCCAAGGTTGTCAAAATTTAACTTCTTGTCTGTCAGAAGTAACCACGCTCGGATAGCAGGGTTAATCGATAACTTTCCATCTGTCAAATTTTAACCAAAAGTTAAAATAATCCACCAAATGGTTCAGAGCCTGAGTCGGTCCTTAAACAACCACTGTATAGAGCTTTTTGACGTTTAATCGGCGCACACTACTGCACCATTTAAATCGAACGAGTGCGAGCAAGAGGGAAATAGATTAGTGGGAAAACAAACCGTCCATTCATCCATATGTGATAGATAGAGAAAGACGATTAAACCCAGAACAACATGTGAAAAGGGCATACAAGCTTTTTGCAAACAAACCTTTGTAAGCCCTTTTCTCACCAACCGAGGGTCGCCCACGCAAACCAGCAATATCATCGGAAAGGGTAAAGTGCCCCCTACCCGGTGATGTTAAAGGTTTGCGTTGGTGTCATATGGGTGGCGAGAAAAGGGCATAAGAAGGTTTGTTTACAAAAAGCTTGTATGCCCTTTTCACATGTTGTTCTGGAAACGTCAAAAAGGTCTATACGATACAAGCAATTAGTGACGTCACTAATTGCGTTTACGTTGATTTTTTGGTTTACTAATACAATCATATTTCATGATCTGTTCACCTGTCTCTGTACTCATTGGCCGACATCGCTTGTCAACAGTCAATGTGGACGGTAGCTCATTAGGTTTTGCACCGTCGGGGTTAACTCAATCTGATGACAGTTCAGTGGTACTGTTTACGTGGACTTAGTCGATTTTTTCTTGGGTGGATTTTCTCGATAATTTTTCAGACTGCAGTGAGATGTACACAGCATTTCTGCAATGTTCACGAGCAACATCCTTGCAACGCGCTGTTCCTCGACAATTTTCAAGTTAAAATTTAGAAACTTTAGAAAATTTTTTTTCGAAAAAACGACTAAGTGCTTGTAAACAGTACCACTGAACTGTCAAAAAGGTTCAGCCGTTTAACACTGAGTTCATTTGTGACGTCACGCTGCAGAACCTAATTAGGTTCTGCAGCGTGACGTCACAAATGAACTCAGTGTTAATAGGCTGAACCTTTTTGACAGTTCAGTGGTACTGTTTACAAGCACTTAGTCGTTTTTTCGAAAAAAAAAATTCTAAAATTTCCTAATTTTAACTTGAAAATTGTCGAGGAACAGCGCATTGCAAGGATGTTGCTCGTGAACATTGCAGAAATGTGGTTTACATCTCACTGCAGTCTGAAAAATTATCGAGAAAATCCACCCAAGAAAAAATCGGCTAAGTCCACGTAAACAGTACCACTAAACTGTCATCAGATTGAGGTTAACCCCGACGGTGCAAAACCTAATTAGGTTCTGCAGCGTGACGTCACGAATGAACTCAGTGTTAATCGGCTGAACCTTTTTGACAGTTCAGTGGTACTGTTTACAAGCACTTAGTCGTTTTTTCGAAAAAAAAATTCTAAAATTTCCGAATTTTAACTTGAAAATTGTCGAGGAACAGCGCATTGCAAGGATGTTGCTCGTAAACATTGCAGAAATGTGGTTTACATCTCACTGCAGTCTGAAAAATTATCGAGAAAATCCACCCAAGAAAAAATCGGCTAAGTCCACGTAAACAGTACCACTAAACTGTCATCAGATTGAGGTTAACCCCGACGGTGCAAAACCTAATTGACGAGTGCACGGATGGATTTGAGTTCACTCACTCGGCAAAAAAGTGACACAACAGCGGGGCCCTGTTTACTAAAAATGAACACATATGTGTTCATTTTTAGTAAACAGGGCCCCGCTGTTGTGTCACTTTTTGTCGAGTGAGTGAACTCAAATCCATCCGTGCACTCGTCAATTGGTCAACAGTGAAAACATCAAACAAAAACATTGTTTTTCGGGAGCGTTAAATTTTTTTGTTTGCAGGGTAGTATCAACTATAATAATTATTGTAAAATATGGTTGAGGAAACAGTACCCGTGGTAAAGGCAAAGGTAAAGAAGGCTTGAATAACAATATTGTTATTCTTTGCATTTTAATTTGTTTGTTTTCCCTCTTTTTTCCAGACAAAAACAGCTCGACCAAAACCTGTTTACCTTTGGACAGTGGCGGACACAATCAAGTGGCTTCGAAGACACTGTAGTGAACAATGCGGAAAATATAGCGATCTGTTTCAGAAGGTAAGTGAACTTATATGTTTTTGTGCTGATAAATGATGGCCAACAGTTACGGTTTAATATAGCATGAAATTACCGGCCGAGCATTGCTGAGGATAACAGATAATTCACTTTACCGGATGGGCATTGTAGATGATAAAGACCGAGAGGACATTTTGCGTGAAATGATCAAGCAGAGACTTAAAACCGATATTATGGAAATTCGTGATATGGAACTGATGAATAACGTGTACGAGAATTGTTACTAGAAATATAGGGTCTTTTATTCTAATAGCAAGTGCGTCTCTTCTTCATAGCCTAATTCAATAAATTATCTTTATTCTAAACCTATTGCTAGCTGTCAGTTATAATTAAAATAAATTATAAGCTCATAAACAACAAACTTAAAATCGTTGAATGAATTGTACAAATTTAGAGAAAATCCTTTTAGTTATCATCATTATCACTTATCACTTCCGTTTTCATGGTTTCCGTGGTAGTAACGGCAGATTGCTGTTGCTTTTCAACGCTTCCTTCAGTACGTTTTTTCTTGGCTGGTGGTAGTTCACTTTCCGCGCGTTGAGTTTTCTTTGCTGCTGGACAATGTTTCTGCTGTAATTGTTGCTGCAGGAAACCGTTGAAGAAACCACTTAAGCTGCGTACCACGTCAACCAAAGGGCCTCCTATTTGTTTCTCGAATTCCAACCGTTCCTTCTCCAGGGCCAGTCTTGCTCTCGAAACTATTAGATTTTCGCGTTGTATGGCAATCAACTGGCCGAACATTTTCTTGAAGCCAGGCGATTTTTCTCCGTTGAGTAAATTCGGCTTTGGCTTTGGGGCGCTCGTTGCATTCGTGATGGGAGTAATAGTAGCAGGCTTCTGAGTTACGTTGATGGCTGGAATACTCACTGTGGGTGGTTTCGGGGCGATAGGAACCATGGATGGCCTCGGTTGGAGCATTGGTGCCGGCCGCATTTGAGGCATTGATGGGATTTCTGAAGCTGGAGTGAGAATTTGCTTAGTGGTTCCATCTTTTGATACTGTGTTCACCAGCAAAAGCTTCATTGGGGCCATCCCTGGGGCAGAACTAGTCGACGTCATGGTCATGGATGTATGGCAAACTGAGTTTGCCAGGCTTACGGTAGGCTGAGTGTAGATTTGTATCGGGGAATTCATGTTCACGCTGGAGGTCGGAGGCTTCAATAGCAGGTTTGTCGGCACCACGGATATTTTACCCTGTGAGCTTATAGGTACGGTTGTCGTTGTTGGGGTCGTAATAACTGCAGTAGCGCTGCCACTGGCATTGTTCACGTGAGGGCTGGAACGGTCCGGTGGGGCTGATTCTGTTACTTTGGCCGCAGCCCTTGCTTTCGAAAGGATCTCATCCAAACCGTCGTTAAATTCACTGGAATCAAAAAGTTCATGACTTATTACAATTAGTATCAATATTCAGAGGAATTTCAATGGGTCATCAAGAAACAAGATGAAGCTTATTTCCACTTTTCGGAAGTTTTTAATAGGTACCTATTTGACGTAAGACAAACTTGGAGCATCCAATCATTATTTCAAGCAATATTTGAGACCAAATATCCCTATGAAATACAGTAGTGTTTTGTTTCATATATTGCCGGTGGATGCATAACTGTCCCATGTGCTGCGCACTTTAATATACACTACTAGGGTGATTCAAAATATCGATTTTGCTCCACTTGGGACAATCGATTTTAAATAAGGTTTTGATTATTCTCCCAAATTTTAAGCTTATTTGGATGCGAACTGATACTGCACCGTTGTTGTAGTTTGGGTTCCAAACCGCTGAACAATACTCAAGCGTCGATCGAACAAGCGAACAATAGAGAGATTTTAGACTGTAGATATCAGTGAAGTTTTTAGCTATCCTAATTAATAACTAATTATCCTGACGTTCAAGTGCGGCCTTTAGCAAAGTTGCAGCTGAGAATATTTTACATTAGTACAGAAGGCAAACTTTAGATAATTATAGCGAAGAGCTAGAACGATGAGACTAAAAAGTTCGCTTTTTCCATAGTAATTCCCACATAAACTTCAAAGGGCCAGTGCAGTGTGAGTTCGCATCCAAATGAGCTAAAATTTTGGAGGAATTACCTGATAACACCTGATTTGAAATCGATTGTGCTTGGTGGAGCCATTAGGCAGTATATATATATATATATATATATATACGAAGCATTCATAATTGTTTCGATTAACTTCGGCACTAGATATCCTAAATGGATTTTCTGCCTACTGCTGGTTTATTTTCCACTGTTACTGCGGGTTTACTGTTTATTAAAACAGGTAACAGCTTCAGAAATATTCAACAGCAAGTTAAATTACTTTCCATGGGATGAAGGAAATGGGATTTGTTTGACGACGACTGAGCTTTTTCATTGAGGTCGTTGATTTTGTTATTTAAGTCATTTGCTGTCAAGCCCCATACAATCAGTTTGAATCACGGGGATGGTAAGCGGTCATATTTCTTTGTAAACTATTTTCCACCACACCCTCACAAAGAACACGAAAGATTCTGGACTAGATTTTCTGAATAGAGCCATTTTGAAGAGCTAATAAGAGCATTTTGACACGAATTCCAATAGAATTTTGAGGAAATATTAGAATAAATTCTAAGGATAATACCAAAGTATTTCAAAGAAAAATTCCAAAGGAGATTTTAGACTAGAACTATGTGGAAAATTCCATGACGATAGGAATAGAGGATTCATTGTCCTTTTTAATTAAATTATTAAAATATGCTCTGGAAAGAATTTTAAGAAAGTTTTGATGAAAAATTCAAAAATTCTACATAAAATACCAAGGGATTCGAACTTTGATGGTACAATTCCAAAAGAATTCTAAGAAGAGGTTTAAGAGAATTACGAAGTTCCAATTACATCTCGAGAAGAATTTCTATGGAATCCTAAGGAGAATGAATTTTCAGGAGTATTTAAGAAACAAAATTATGAAAGGAAGCTTCAGTGAATTCAAAGAATAATCAATAAAAGTTCAAGGAGAATCTATTGATGAATTCCATGATTTTTGTAATGTTCGGTAGAGAATTGCTAGACCGTTTTGTAAAAAAATGTTAAGCGACTCCCAGTAAGAGATAATTGTCAAGGGACTTCCAGAGAGGGAATTCTGAGAAGAACTCTGAGAAAGGAAATGATTTAAAAAAAAAATACTATAGGATATTGCAAATAAATCCTGTAAAGAGATCTGTACGAATTTTCGAGGTGGTTAAAACATAGACAAACACAGAAAAAAATCTGCGGTCTTCTTAATGACTAATCTAGTGATACCTTCAGCTCAATCGCATTCGGTTGTATGAAAAACAACGAGATTGCTAATGAGGATTTGCTGGCCACCATGGTATACCATGAATGTACTAAGCTCCATTTAAGTGGTTCTCTGTGCAATTTCACTGTTTCTGATCAGTAACGGAGAAGCAACGACGACGTACACGGTCTTTAAAAAAATATTATGGAGCTTCTCAAAGCTCAACGGGTTGACACAATAGTCGGAACACACAGCAAAAATTGTAAATTTACATTTGGTACATTGATGTATTTTCTGGCCGTAGTTGAAACATACAGCAATTCAAATATAATTTTACGTGAAAGGATTTAATAATCCATAAATTTACATTGAATTTTACATGCATCAGAACAGCTCACAGAACAGTGCAAAGTTCAATTGAACATAATAGAATTTTCAACCAACAACAATATAAATTTACATAATCGTGTACATTTCAGTTTTAATTCATTGAAATTCTGATCGTTGAACGTGTAATTTGATATTTAAAAAGTTGCTCCAGTTTGTAATTGAAAATTACAATATATTTTTATCTGTACATCATAGAAGACCTTGTTGAGTCTTTAGAACATCAAGACTTGAACACCAGGTATTTTGGAAAACATAAGATACTTTTCCAATACATCTTATGTCCCGCATGATGTGAGGTCCCACGAAGCTCTACGTATTTTTATAATAAGGGTTGATTTTTCTTTTCTTTCTTTTATTTAACGTCGGTTTCTGTTCCGCAATCTAGTGCCAATCACCGACGGACATCGATTGCCATCCATTGACGGCAATCGAATGTGCAGGAAGGCAGCTTCCACACCTGCGTAGGATATCGCACCCATTCAAACACACATGGGCCGGGACCAACGGCTTTACTTCCCTTCCGAAGGAAGACGTGACCAGAGATTTTTATGCCTCAGAAAAATCCCACCGACCTCGGCTGGGATTGAACCAAGACCCATTGGGGTGAGAAAGCAGTTACGCTTACCACTACACCACCGGCGCCGGCGGGTTGACTTTTGACAGCAGATTTTATGTAAGGAGCTATATTTGATCCCGAGGGATCGAATTGGTTAAATTACAGATAATGGGTTCATTTTCAAAACCGGGAAAAACCAGGAGTAAAAAAAGTATTGGAATGGACACCCAGTTTAGAACCTCCGACTACCGAGAGATGAACTAGCCTACGGCTAAAAATCTCTATAATAAAGTATTTAAAAAAAAACCTCCGACTACCCGAACTAGAATATGCTTGCCTTGAAAATTTTCATCATTATGCTTGCCACACATCATACAAATGGTAAACAACACAACAGCTGTGAAAGTGCTCAAAGAACATTAATTTGAGAGCAGGTGTAAAGTTCCAGCTGACATGTAATGATTAATTAGAATTATCATAACTCAAATAAGTCCTAGTAACACTTACTTTTCCACATCAAAGTCGCTGTCATCGTCGTCATCGTCATCGTCCTCATCATCATCACAATTCTTATCGTTATCATCCTTGATGTCGAGTTCTTCCTTTTGCAGTGTATCACCTTCCTCCGGTGCGTTGGTATCGATGGTCAGTAAATCTTCCGCTCGAATCTCAGTTGAATCATCATCGCTCATCACTTCCAGCTTGACAGGAAACCGTTGCATCTGTTCCTGCTGCTCTAAGATTTGCTTCTTAAGCTCTTCCTGTTCTTCTTGTTGCTTCTGTTGCTGAATCATGTGCATCCGATGGGCATTACCAAACACTGGTCGACTTATAATCTCATCCATCTCGGCATAATGCTTCCAAGTCGTTTGGTTGATGATTCCGGCTGCCATGTCCTTTTTGATGCGATTGTAGAAGCACTTGAGATTTTTGATGCGCGTGTTAATTTCCTCCGTCGAGCGATTGTATCCATGTTCACGCATTTTCTTTGCCAGATCAGCGATAACCGGGTGTTTCTTGTGGGTGGTGATGAGGGTTTTCTGCACTTGCGGGTCGCCCCACAGCGAGATGAGCATTTTGGTTTCGTCGTAGTCAAAGTTTGGATTACGGCTATTGATGCGCTTTAAACTCATACTGCTGTTCAGAATTTTGTTCGTCGAAACCCATGTTTCCCGATGAACCGGTTCTCGGTGGGCTGCATCCGATGAGTCAATTGTCCGTCTCCGTAAACCCATGCTCATTTATTTCACCAACTGATTGATTAATCCACACGTCAAGTCAACTACCAATCACTACTGCTGCTTCTGATCCACAAACACACTGCAGTCAAACACGGGGTGGCAAGACAACGAGAGGGTGCTGAGTCGCAAGTTGGTTACCGCGGTGAGGCGCAGAAAAAAAATCGATAACTCACAAGCCACCGCTTGCTATGATGGTTTTATTTCCCAACCCCACAAACTTATTTCGTTCTACTCGCGTTCTGCGTGAGTGTCCCTCTCGATAGGATCGCCAAACTCAAACTGGTCGACTCAGCCTAATCGGCCTCCTTTTGGCCCTCGGTTGGTTCAGCTACATGTCGCACAGGCAAATCCAGCTTTTCCCCTCTTTTTGCCAAGCAGTAGCCTGGCAGCTAGTGGTGCGATACGTGCTTTTGCTTGTGCTAGAATGGAGGGAAACTTCGATTCCGGCAAGGTGCGCATGTCTGCTTTTCTTCCTTCATTCACGTACACGCGACAATCCTACTGGAATCAAATGCAGTTCAAACATTGCTACTCAGAGCAGTGAGCGGTAGCGCAATAAAAAGGATACACGCAGAACCAACCAATATGATATGAATAACAACAACAGCAGCAGGAACCAAAACGTAAAGCATGAAAAAGGACGAGATTTACGTCCCTTGCCATCGTCGCATGGCATTACGCTTTACTTTACGGCAAGCAAGTCTAGCGCCTGTTTGGCTGAGCGTGTATGTTTCATGGTATGGTAAGAGTGATTATTTTTCCCGGTGAATATGGCTCGATCGGAGGGGGTATTTGAGTTAAGAAGCTATAGGAGGGTACACACACAGACTTAACAGCGACCATGGAATTATCATGAAAATCGATAAAGGTGTTTAGCGTAGAAAACGGTGGGCTTGCCCAAACCGGGTTAGAGCACATTTTTGAGACAGATTTTCAGCTGCTGCTAGTTATCCTTGTCGATTTCAAGAGTGCTAGAAAAACAAATTACAGCAGGTAGATTACTTATATTAAAAACATTGATCAAATTGTAAATTAGGAGTACACTCCCGATCAGAAAAAAAAAACCCGAATTTATCCACCTATGGTGTGATCAGACCCTTCTTACTTATTCAAGTTTATTTATTTTATTGTCATTATCAGTGACCAAGCCCCCCCACCCCCGTGTCATCCAGTGACGCTACGCCACTGCCTGGGGGTACCCGGAATATATCCGGGTGTAGTCTATTTGGTGAGGCTCTCAATCACCTTATCATCGTATTTTAATGTGATTTAATGGGTTTTAATTCAATTCATATTCAAGCAACTTCCCCGGGGTACCCGGAACATGTCCAAGTGTGTCCAATGTGGTCTGGAACACTTAACACGACTTGCATTGATCTTATTTTTGAATTCTGTAGTAATTTGATGTGTCGCATGATGGTTTTAATACGTTTTCCGTTAAATCCAGCGTGAAGGCCCATATTCACCGGATCTTATTTCGGCCATATCTCCGGAACCGGTTCACCGATTCCAAAACCGTTCAATGGCCCAAGACCTATCATTTGGCGCCGAGTTTGTCCAAATCGGTTGAGCGGTTGCTGAGAAACGTGAGCGCATTCATTTCGTTACATACACACACACATACACACATACACACATACACACATACACACATACACACATACACACATACACACGTACACACACACACAGACATGTTCCTATCTCGTCGAGCTGAGTCGAATGGTATATGACAATCGGCCCTCCGGGCCTCGGATCGATAGTCGGTTTTTCAAGTGATATCTATACCCTTCTTTGTAAGAAGGGTAAAACATGCAAATCTTTATTGTTCATATCTCTTCCATTTTACGTTCAATTTGCATTCTCTAAAGGTGATTTGAAAGGTATTGAATGAAAATTATTTCGTAGCTATTTGGCTTAATATTACTCCCTATCCCACTGAACTCTGTCCCACCGGATCGTGTTGTATGCAGTTGCGGTTATCCTGGTCTTGTAATCGAAGATGAAGAGGAGAGTACGGGAAGTCACTTATGACGGATAGGAAACTCCGGTACGCACGTTAGAAAGCAACACGGAAGCCTCTAATCCACCCAGTAAAGCCGAACCGTTTGTTCCTCAATGCAGCCCAAGTCGTGCTGGCCTTGTGTCTGGAGTGCGTGAAGAGGTCTTCCAGCTTGCTCATCAAGCAAACCCCACACGTATCAATATATTAACGTGAAGAGGAATTATTGACAATAATATATGATGTTAATACATAAATATTGTCAATATCTATGTATTGACGTCAATATATAATGTATTGACAATACGATTATTGTCAATAAAAGCAAAATGTGTAGGGTTCACTGCAAGGCATGTATCAATGTAATAATATGTGTTTCATGCCTTAGGGGCCTCCCTTAGCTCAGTCGGTAAAGGCGCAGCTACAAAGCAAGACCATGCTGGAGGTGGCTGGGTTCAATTCCCGGTCCGGTCTAGGAATTTTTCGGGTTGGAAAGTTTCTCGACTTCCCTGGGCATAGATGTATGCTTGGACTTGCCGCACAATTATACCAATGCAAAAATGGTACAGGCATCGAAAGCACTCAATTAATAACTGTGGAAGTGCACGCAATAAGCTAATATGCGATATGCAAAAAGCTTGAAAAGCGAAGAAGAAGAAGTTCATGCCTGAAGATGTTTCGCTTCACAGTTGGCCTGCTTATTATGTCGCTGCGCATTCTACCTGCCACATTGGACTTCATTCTGAACACGCTGATGATGCTTCCTCCCACTACTCATCCGTCAATAGCTCTTTAACTATTGAATTCTCTTTAGTCCCGGTATGCATCGTGGAAAGCACTTTGGAAGCCCTTGATCTTTCCAATAAGGTCCTGCCTTTCGCTGCCTGCGCTCTTCACAGTCGTCGCGGACCCATTGTTGGATGTAGGGAGAGGGTCTTCCAACCTGTTCTAGTAGGCAAGTACCTCGTAATGTAGAATTTCCTCTTCATGTCATGAATTCCAGTGGTATTGTATGCATCTCTCCACCTTCTACCACGGCTCCATCGTCCAACAACGGATCTGTTCCAGTTAGCACTACTATAAAAATGTGCGAGGACTACTGACTATGGTGAATTCGTTCTTTTTGGCCGCTAGCGATTATGACGTTATTGTATTGACTGAGACATGGCTCAATGACCTTTTATACAGCGCACTACTGTTTGGCAATGCCTTTGTTGTTTATCGGACTGACCGTAATGCCTCTAATAGTGTGAAAACCCGTGGTGGGGTGGAGGTGTATGGATAGCTGTTTCAACTCGTTGGAACAGTTATTTCCGATGTTCTGGTGCAGCGGTGGCTTATGTCGTTTTCGTTTTTACTACACTATACCGGTGTAAGCAGCAATAAGTGCGAGTCATTGACAGTTCATCATCACTTCTTTGTAAACAAAGGTGCAACCGATAGCTACACCCTAATTTTTTTCGGTGTTCGGCAGTGTAGCACCGGTGTAGCTACACCGCAAAAACGAAAACGACATTAGAATCGATGTCAATTATACAACGTCTGGCCCAACCGGCTTATTGGTATTAGTGAAATGTGAAAACGTACAACAGATAGTGGTCGTATTTCATCGCAATGTTTATCTTTTCACACGAAACAGCTGTTTTCTGTGACGACACGTCTGCTAATCGCAGTATGGAATGTTGTGCTGCCGTGACATCGGCAAACGCTTGCTCAGCAATGTTTACAACATTTTTGCTTCTAACAATAGCAAGCTGCCTGTTGTTCCAGACCTTGTATGATTGACATCGGTTTAGAATCACTACGCCAAGTCGAGTGGTAAGCGTGGGCGTGATTAATATTCAAGACCTTGTGAACTCTACCGGTGTTTCCGATTTGGAATTCAATGACTATGCTCTGCAGCTCGGAGATTATATCCAACCTTTACTCCGGTGGAGTAAGTCAGGCAATGGGTTTTTCCAGGTTAAACTTCAAACGGTTTTATCGGTTGCTAGTTCAACGCTTTAAATGGCCTCACGCAGATCAATGGTGTATCGAATAGGAACGCTTGTTTTCTAGAACGTTGTTCTGTCTAACAAAGCGACAACTCTAGCATGCACCGTTTCAAAAACCATATCAGGCATAACATTTGATAACGGCACAAAAGCTTTTTTAAACAAACTTTTTAAGGCCCTTAACACGCGAACCAAAGTACGCCCAAGCAAACTAATACCACTTTCGAAAAGGTGAGAGTTGCCCTTATCCGATGATGTTGTTGGTTTGCGTGAGCGTACTTCGATTCACCTGTAAAGGGCCTTAAAAAGTTTTTTAACAAAAGCTTTTGTGCCGTTATCAAATCTTATGCCTGATATAATCTTTGACCGTTTTTGACGCGGGCCACCCTGCTTTAGACGTCCGGATGAATCTTCCAGCGCCAATCGTTTTTAAGGATTGTTGCGAGAATTATCGTACACTGGATTTCCGACGAGCCGTTATCTCCCGCATTGAGTGGCGACTACTAAAATCAAGATGTGTTGACGATGCCGCTGAATATATCAACCAAATGATTTGAATCATGGCTGAATTTGTACGTATTGCCCGCTTGGTCTAATGTACAAATGAAAGGGTCCAGAGCAAAAGCGCTACGAAGATACTACCGAAATCGTTCTTACATTACGAAACAGGAGTGCAACCGCACAAGTAATGACTGTAGTAAATACAACAGATTCCTGTATCGACGATTCTCCGTACGCAGTCATCTGTTCGCAGAAATCCAAAGCGTTTCTGGTCATTTGTAAACTCAAAAAAGAAAGAAGTTGGTTTGCCATTGTCAGTTCATCTTCGTGAGCTAACCGCTGGTTCTGAACATGAGAAGTACCGCTTCTTCGCTCAACATTTCATGAGTTCATTCAACGAAACCTCGGCCTCACCAAATCTAGTTAAGATTGCTATTACTGATTCTCGAAGAGATGCTTTTGAGCCACAGTGTATCTCAAAATTGATCGTACAGCTGTACTTAAATTTTAGAAAAACGGCTCTAATAGCACAATTAAAAAAAAAATATGTCTGAACGTTTGGCAGCTGACTCAGCATACATTTATTAATTATTGACTCAGTATTGGGCATATTTGGATGAGTTTGCAAAAAGTTAGAGCAATTTAGGAAAAACACCTTTTTCTTGAAAAATCCTATTTTCTTGAAATGAAATGAACGGAACTTCTTTAAATTTTGCTCATTTTTAGTCATATGCCACATCACATCACATCAGTGAACAAACCGCTAAT